AATTCAAATTTAATTCTAGCCATAAAACAGAACTTGGATATAAGTAGAACAGCCCCGCCGGGGACTGAATTAAGCACGGGAGCGTTGCGTTCGCATTGGCGCGCACCAGCTTCGATATTTTTCAAAACGCCATGTGGGTTTGTAATCAAAGTGACAGCTGGCTTCAGATACCCACCACGCTTATGCAGTATCTCCAGAACTGTTTTAGTTATGGAGTAGAGAAATCGGAATTCACAGATATGCGCACTTCTTTCTTTAAAGGGAATTTCCTTCAAATAAGGAAATGTGGGAAGTGATAAGGAAATTTTTGAACACCAGATTGTTTTCTTTCTAAAACTTCAGAATAAACTTTTTGCAACTCTTTCCCCTGGAAGTTATTACGAGGTCAGTGCCTTCTAACGAATCCTTTTGTTCTCAAAGACTCGTTCAAAAATCGCCCCGTCGGACAATTTTTTTCATGAATATTCGTCGCTACTCTTCTAAAAACACGTGTTTTCAACACTCAAACAGTCACAACTGCATTTTATGAGAGTAAACATAACATACTCGGAACAAGACATTGTGAATCATAATGATAACTGAAATCCTTTTCAGGAATTTAGGCGCAGTTGAAATATTCTGTCCTACGTTTCATTGTAAGCCTTAGTATTCGTATCCACCCTGCTTTGAGGCTGCCCATGCACCATTTGTCGCTTTGTGTTAATAGTTGGAGAAAGCCTTGAAAGTCTTGCTGCCTTCAAGTGTTCAAGACTATGGATTGACTCTTTGCCAAACGACTCCCGTCTACCGTCGGCCAAATACGACCCCCCCCCCGTTGGTTTGTCCAGTGGACGGTTGACCCTGCTCGCAATCACAATGCTTTACCTGAAGCTATTAAAAAGGGATCCGGGTAGACTATCGATCATTTGCCAGAGCAATTCTGATGCGACAAGGATACAGCACTGACAAGGGAGGTCGTTCAGGGTGTGGGACGCTTTTTCAAAACGGTTTTTTGCATGCCGTAGGGGCTCTCACGTAGACCACATTACTGTGTTCCATTTTCGCTGAGCGCCCCCTGAAGGTCAGAAAAAGGTCGAAAAAAAGTTGGTAAGAATGTGTGGTTTTCAGTGCCTTGGAGTGGTGCTTTGAACTTGTGGAAAAGATCACCCGCAAATTGAAGGGTACTGATGAAGACGGTATCGAAAACAGCGTGAAATTCGCTCAAAATTGAAGTTCTGTCAGTGGTAGTGCTGAAGAAGTACGAGGGCTTCATAAGCGTAGTCGGCATCATGTGCGTAGCAGCGAAGCGGTGGTCAAGTGGATAGTGTCGGCCTCGAGTTGCACGGGTTTGTGGTTCGAGTCCGCCCTACGGCAAACTTTTTGCATTTTTGATAAACGTTCCCAAACTGACGCAAAATTGCTTTAGAGTCAAAACTAACGCTATATTCACAGTCAGGACAACCAGTAGCTCTTACAAATGGATTTTCTATAAAAACTGGCGGGATAAGTTTGCAGCGCCAAACTGTCGTCCAAATGGCGCCTACGCCAAAAACGAAAGACATATTCGTGATCAGGACTCTGATTTACCCCCATATGCTGGAATTTCGGGAAAAATCGAGGTTTTGACCTAACTTCGCAAAAAGGGGTGACCATGGGCTACAGGTCGTCATGCACGCCAGCGGCAACTTGAAGACGTGCGCGGCGCGGAAATCAAGCGGAATGCCTTGTTGGTTCACGAGAACCAAAATTTGATTTTATACTAACATCTTCCATCACGTCCCCAGTCCTTGGAATCGATCCAGCTATCGAGATGCAGCCGTGCGAGTGGAAGACCCGTGGGTCCAATATACCACGTCCTGATGGAGGGAGGAATCTGTCGACTTCAAAATCATGGTGTCTTGTTGTCCATTACCAGCTTGGGTGTCTGCCATTGTCCATTTAGTATTGGAACTTCTCATTATTTGAGAAGGAGAACAAGGAATTCGTTTCCAGTTCACCAGCTGCAGGTACTTACGGCTGACCTATCAATGGCCAATTTTTCGGACCAAGGTCAAAATCTCAATTTTCTCTAGAACTGCTAGTTTAGAGAATATCGAGTGCCCTGATCATGAATATGACATCAATCTTTTCCGATAGCTTCAATTAGCGCCTTTTCGGCGCCATTTGGCGTCTTTTCGGCACTACAACTTTTTTCCGCTAGATTCTAGCAATAGTTCGAGTGCAGTACTCATTCATGGTCTTGATAATGAATACGGTACCTAATATTGGTGCTGGCGCTATTTTAAGCGAATTTCGAGGCTCCAGTCTGAATGCAAAAATTTTGTCATCAGAAGGGACTGAACCCTGGACCATTTCTTTACCATTTTTTAACCTTCAGGGGGCCGCTCAGCGAAAATGAAACATAGTACTGTAGTCCCCGTGAGAGCCCCTACAGCATGCAAGGAACCGTTTTGAAAAAGCGCTCCACACCCTGAACGACCTCCCTTGTGAGGCATTTCTAGGAACTTGTAAAGGTCCAAAAATAGTATTGATCCAAATGCCTTGAGCCCGAATTCAGCTCCAAACACGATCTGACACCGTTATGTTCAAGTCGACTTACTAGGGATTCTACGATTGACCATCCATCACATTTGCCGAAGATGAGAGTGGGTACAGTTTACTACAAATGAACAAGCGGCGGTAGTCTAGCTCAAATGCTTCGGGAGATCTTATTGCTAAAGCTCAACCTCGTCCAAGTAGGGTCCTGTAGGATTTTTGCTGGAACACGGAAAAAGAGCTCTGGTTACCCTACAGATGTCGCAGTCAACGCGAAATCATCATCTTCTTCTTATTCTTATTCTTCAGCGTTTGTCCCGCTTGTTGGCAGGGTCCGCTTTTCTGATGTGCTGTCGCCACTTTACCCGAATAAATGCTTGGCCAACTACAAGTCAACGCGATATCATCCACAGCTCAAATCGCCTTATAGCCCTGACCTTGCGTCAAAGGATGCCCACCTGCTTCCCTCTCCAGAACCACTTCCTAGAGAAGAAATCTCATCCTAACCATGATGATGTCAAAATCGACATCTGATCTTTCTTCGATCAGAATTCAGTGGAGTCCTACAAGAGAGGCATCGACAGCTTCTAGTGCGTTGGCAATAGGTTGTAGATATTGATGGTGTATAATGCCGGATGAATGGAACAAAAAGATAATAAAAATATTAAATTCAAAATTTAGCCAGTTTGTTGCAAGACTTATGGACCAACCTAATAGTTTCGAGGGACGAATAGGATTTTCAGAGCACATGAGCGTGAAAGCGTAGTGGAAATGGTAATCTCACCAAGCAATTGGTTACGTGGTGTTACCCTCATGAACAAATAATCTTATCCTGAATAACTTCTCGTCCAAGCCAACCGAGTCTCTAACCGACTGCACCGTTTGAGGAAATCAAGCAATTACCACTTTCACTAATACACCGGCTTAAGAGGAAATCGGATCGTTCACCGCAGAAGTTAGTCACCAACAGATGATTGTCTTTGAAACGCTAGCGCAGGGTCAACCGTCCGTTGGACAAAGTCCAACGAGGGGGTCGTATTCGGCCGACCGAAAGGGGGGTCGTATTTGCAAGGGTCAACGTCGCAATACGTAGGAGAGGCATAACTTTCGAGCGCTTCTCCAACTACTAACCACAAACGAGTGCATGGCGCACCTCAGAGCAGAAGAGTCTACTGCAGTAAGTGTCCATATGTGACTGTTCACGTACACAAATATGCTTCTGAGAGAACCAATGCCTTCAAACTGAACCTAAGTTAGTAAAAGAGTGACCACTTGGGTAGATTGACTGCTAAAGGCTTACAAGAAAAGTTTGGAGAAAAAATTTGCCTGTCGGCGAGTTCCTAGAAAGAGTTCAGTATCTGTTATGAAGCACAAAGCTTGTGCGATGTCATGGTATCATTACTCCCCATAAAATTGAGTTTGAAGAGAGCTGTGAGTGTTTGAGTGTTGAAAACTCGTGTTTTCAGGAGAGTAGCTCCGAAAATTCATGAAAAAAAAACGGTCCAACGGGACGATTTTTTGAAAGGGTCATTGTGGAAACTAGTTCAAGTATTCATTAGAAAGCTCTAACCTTCTAGTTTTCTTCCAGGGGACAAGAACTGCAAAAAGTTGAATCTGAAGAAAGTTATGAACAGTTCAAAGCCAAAAAACCAGCGCTCTGCCAAAAATCGGTCCGCGATTTCCCCAAAACGGTCCAACCCTAGAAAGCTCTTACCTTTTAGTTTATCCCAGGGGGCAATAATTGCAAAAGGTTCTTTCTGAAGAAAGTTATAGTCATTGAAAGCCAAAAAACCCGGTTGTGCACAAAAAACGGTCCAACGGGGCGATTTTTTGAAGAAATGAAACTTTACAAAAGTTTGAGTACTTTTTAGAAAGAAAACAATCTGGAGTTTCAAAATTTTCTTACCACTTCTCACACTTTCTTATTTGAAGAAAATTACAACCTTTCAAATGAAGAAGTGCGCATTTCTGTGAATTCTAATTCTCTACCCCATAACTAAAAGTTCTGGAGATACTGCATAAACGTGGTGGTTTTCTGAAACTAGCAATCTCTTACGTTACAAGTCTACTTGGCGTTTTGAAAGTACAGAACTACACTCCTTGAAAATCAAAGATTTGCCTTGGCCTGGGCAGAGTAGAAATTTGTGCGCGCCAATGCAAACGCGACGCTACCGCGCTCAATCTGGTGTAACGCTCGAAATAGTAGTACGAAGTAGTACGCAAACACACACAATTACCAAGTGTACAGTACATAATAAGTGTTTGGGGGGGGGTCGTATCGAGACTCGCCAAAAGGAGGGGGTCGTAAAATTTTTGAAATTGGTCCAACGTGACGGTTGACCCTGCGCTAGCGTACACAGGGCGGTGGGGGAAAGGGGGGGGGGGTTGGTGAATACTGGGTGTGTTGTGTTCTCCGCTTGACAATTCACCCCTCCCCACGCTTACACCTATTTAGCCCCGTCTCTTATTTCAACAATAATTTGAAGTAGGCAACTAGAAAGGGACATGCGCAAACTACACCAACCATTGCCATCATTCCATGACAAGTTGGACATCTTTGATTCGTAGGTAGCTACCAAAAAATTCCCATCACTTCTTTCGCTTTGACGTTGAAGGTTTTTCGTCGACCTTGATGTTTCATCTATTTGAATCCAGGAACTTAAAAATTGAATTGATCTGATTTCAGTCTCATTCTAGCCCGACTGCTGATGATTATTAAGTGTATGCGAATCGATCTGGTGTATATAAGAGCGACAAATGTGAGTGTGCATCTGATGGGGCATCTTTATTGCAATCACGGTGGCTCTCGAATAACATCCCATTGCAGATATTTCAACCCCTTTATTACAAAACGTCGATAAATTAGGGGTAATTATTCCTGCACCAGCAGTGGCAGCACCATCATTTCCGTGCTTCTTCCTTGGTTGAACACTTCACGTGATGGTGTCTCGCCATCCTCGGCCTGAAATAAGCGCAGCGATTGCTCTGGATACACCAGCTACCGTGTTCATCAAACGAAAACAGACCTTAGTAGTGACGAGAACAATCTTATCAATCTTGGCACCACCGTTTTGTCGGAGGATGTCGATCCTCGACGACTTGCCCGGCTCAACCACTCCAAACACAGGGTTCACGCGATACAACATATTGTCCGAACATTTCACCTGCAACAAGCAATCTTTACTGTCAGTTGATGGACTTCCCATTTTCCAGCAATGGAACCACCACTCGCCTTGAAGAATTTGCGCTCCTGGGTATCGTTGACGACGTTCACTCCCTTCAGTCCTCCGATTGCCTTATAGCTCAACTCGCAAGGCTCCACACGAAGCTCAGACGGTTTAGCTTGAATTCAAACATGAATTGGATGAAACTCTTGCTTCAGCATGAGAACAGCCTCAATCAAGGGAACCTTTCATCATAGCACCGCCCGGCGCTTATGTCATTGGGGAAGGGGGGAGGGGGTGTGAACATTCATGTGAGGGAGACGCTCATAGAACTTGGAACTGAGCTTTAGAGGAAGGGATCCTGAGAAAGCATGTCAGCAATTTGTTCTCTCTGGCGTTCCCCCAGCTTCGGCTTAGTCCTAGTGCCTCCTACCAGCGGATTTTGAGTTGCCTGTTTTACATGTCCCTCCTCTCCCTGAGGAGAACGCCCACCGCCCTCTAGCGTATGTGCATGGGAGAAGCAGAGATTGATAGTGCGAAAGCAAAATCACTGCTCATTTTAGACTATGCGTGTAAGTAGAGGCGGCTGAACGCCATCAGCTAGTCTATGAAAATATGACCAGAAGCAATGTCATCGCCCCCCCCCCTCCCATCCCGCTAAGTCCATTCAAAGTAAGTTCGGCCTAAAGCGGACGAGAGAGAATATCAGCAGATTTGAAAGTTTTACCCACCTGGAAGAGATGTACCAGACGCCTGAAAATACGAAGAACATTCGGTTTCATTAACAGGAACAACTGTTGTTGGGCAGCTTCACAGTTTAGGTCGCCTGTCCACATGTAGAGTCAATCGGTCCACCATCATCAACTATTAGGGGGATGGGTTCGGTTAGGCCTTTTGGAAAGCAGCACGAAACCGTTAAGACTTATTATTAGCAGGCTTTGATGGCCGTACATTCAGGGATGGCGACCATCTTTATCATCGTTATCCACCACCACCTAAACCTGCGGTCTCATTAGGGTGAGTTCAATATCAGGTGGATATGAAGTACACTAGAATAGCGGTAGTTAATTTGCGCTAATTCATTTCGGCTATCCCCGTCGCGATGAACGGTCAGCATCTAAAGGAGGAAAGCTGTTCGCATTTGGCCTTGTTGTTACGAAGGATTATGCACTACTCCAAAAAGCGCCATAGGTTTTGAGTTGGTTCTCAGCCCAGCCCCGTCTCCATCAGTACTTCACAAGGCGGATGACTACGGCACTCAGAAGGTGTACTGAAGAATGACGCCGTTTGGCACTCACCCTAGCGCTCCTGCTCGACTTCGACCTGCGAGAACCAGATCCTCGTTTCCTAAAAGTGTTTGCGTTAATGAACGACTCAAGCGAGCGTTGATGAAAGTGATGGACTAACGATCTGCTCCTTCTGCTCTTGCTCTTGGAAGACTGCAATAAATTCAATATTGGGAGTAGATGTACACACCTAATGTAACTGTCTAAGTGAACTCACTCTAGAGGACTTGCTCCTTCTACTCTTCCTCCTACTACCGCGACGAGACTTCGACCTTTTAGATTTAGACCTCCTGGATTTCCTAGATCTGCCACTCTTCGACGACTTCGATCTTCCTCTCCTGCTCTTCCTGCTCCTGCTTCCCTTGCTACGACGAGACTTGCTACGACTTGATCGAGACGATTTCCCCTTATGCCTTTTCGACCTCCCAGACTTCGACCCTCCCGACCTCGAAGACTTGCCGGACTTGCCGGCCGCGCCTCGTTTCTGAAGTTGCATCAGATTCAGATCAAAGCACAAAAGGATCAGTAACCATACCCACTGACCTTACCGCATCCGTATAGAGCAACTGCCCCAGCGGGCACGGCGAGCAACCAATACATATATGCTGCACCACCCCATGATGGCTCGTTTATAAATGAGATCTTATCCGGATGATTACACGGGAATCACTCCTCGTTTACAACCGCTCCCTTCGTGCAGCAGTGTTGATGATTGCTGTCGAGTTTTATGAAGCTGCACGAATCGGGAGAGGTTTGCAGTCTGGATGTCTTTCTGTCTAAATGATTATATTTTCGAGCGTTTGATCACCCACTATCCGTGTTCCCGTCCCATCCCCTATACCACATGTGACAGCCAAGGTTCCAATGTCACCGCGAAAGCCGCAACGAAACTGGTAGTATCCACACTTTGACGCCCTCTTATCAGTTTTAATCAGTTGCTACCACCTTTCTTCTAATCACCCTTTTGGTCCCTACCTCACCCCACATTATATTCATGAGGGCAAACATCTTAGGGCCAACGCACAAAGGCGATTGCGACCAATGACGAACGTAGCCATTCTGATGGCTAATTCAGCTCTTGTCATTGCATATCACCTGTCCCTTCGTCCTCCACACATGATGGTCCCAGTTCCTACCTATGCTTTGCTACCTCTGGCCACAAATATTCATACAGAGTGTTAAGAACCAGTTCAGCACTGCCAATCGTATTTCGAAAAAAAAAAAACCTAGCGAACGGCGTAAGGAAGTTGGTGACATCGGCATTCTGACGCCCGTTATCAGCTTCTATCAGTACTTATCACTTTCCGCCACCCATCATCAGTGTTCGCCCGACCGACCCCTATATACCCTAGAAGTTTGAGCGCTCTGGGATCAAAGGGAACGAAGTTATGAATTTCCGGTCAGACACACACACACAAACCGCTTAGCCGATTATATATAGTAGGATATTGTTCTGTTTTAGTTGAAATTTTTCTTTTCTCTAATTTGACCTAGTTTGATAGGCCGTGCGACCAGTGTTGTTTGTTGCTACAACTGACGGCATGTCTTTATGGGCGTATAAAATAAATAAATAAAAATAAACAATTGCTGCGACATCGACCGCTATCAGCCTATCGATCTGTCGCAAAGGTTCTTCTGATATAAATACTGCTGAGGCTCCTATTCGGAGAATGGGCTACATTTTGAAGGTGTTTGTGGATTGGTGCACCAGTTGAGCACACGCATGATTTAAGAAACCGTCAGTTGAATAAAATATAGTAAATTTTGGAGGAGGGAAACAGAGAGAGGACAAAAAGAAGCGGTTCGCGATGTGAATGACGTTACGAGTGCGTACTATCAGACAGCCATCCCAGTATTCAAGGGCTGAAAACGGGAGTCAGTAGAAGCTCCGAATGAGTAAAGCATTCTGAATAAAACCTTTCTTTGTGTGAACCTTTCTATTCAATCCATGTCCGTCAAAATCCCGCCCTTCAGAGGCTTTCATTCTGGAGGTGAATATTTAGCAAGATCACATCTGAGCAACTATAACAGACTGCTTGGACCGCGCGATTCCCTGGCGGTGTAGCTAGCGCCACCAAAGGTTGGAAGTTTACTTGCTTATTTTTTATCTTTTACTTCTATTCAATCAATAATTCATTTTCCATATTTGTTATCTTCTGGCTGATCTTGAGCGCTTACAGGATATGATTACATACCGAGCCCACGCCGCCGTCATCCGCTACCGTATAAAAGAGCCGCGCCTGAGTGAGCAATGGTTTTTTGCCTCCGTTCGCTGATCAAGGTTCGTCTGAGGAAGGAGCGAAACGAACCATTTTAATTATTTCGTTTATAATGGTTTTTCTTTCTTAATTGGACTGTGCCGTCGACTCCTCGTCCAATCTAGGAGAGCCCTCTCGCAATACAGGACCTCGTCCACCATCAATAAAGGAGCGACTCTCGAGCACGGCGCTTGAGTGCGAAGCTACAGACGAGTGCGTGGCGTAGTCTATTCGTATTCTATAATAAATATTCGTGGTACTTGTGTTCAGTACCGTTCATTTAGACCCGCGTAGGCATATAGGAAGGCACATTAGCGAAAGAGGAGAATCAACTTGGGCACTATTCAACTATTACGACCCCAAAAACTCAAAATTTTATTTTTCGTCGAAACTTCGCCTATAGGGGTAATTCGGTGCCCTGATCACGAAAATGAGGTTCATTTTTGGCTGCTTTGGCGCCAATTGGCGCCAATTTGGCGCCAAGGGTGTTTTCACCAAATTCGCTGTAAACTTGCACATAGGGGTTATTTGAGGTCCTGATCACGAATATAACATTTCATTTTTGGCGCTGGCGCCATTTGGCGCCAATTGGCGCCAATTTGGCGCCAAGGGTGTTTCACCAAATTCGCTGTAAACTTGCACATAGGGGTTATTTGAGGTCCTGATCACGAAAATAACATTCATTTTTGGCGCTGGCGCCCAATTCTCGTGCAGTGTTACGTGAGGTAGGTTAGCACAGACAAAGAATAAACCTTTATGCGTAATTATGGGGGAAGGGGAGGTAGTGACTTGTTACCCATCACGTGATAGTAACGGCCCCTAGAGCTAAGCGTTGATTGGAGAAGGGTGCGAATCCTTAGAAAAGAAAGTGCTCACGCACTCTGGAGTCCCTTCCTCCCCCCCCCCCCCACCCGCCCTTAAGGCTTAGTCCTAAAATTGAGTCGGTGACTTGATATGTGGCCCTAAAGAGGGCCGTTGGGTTAGTGTACGTGAGATATCAGACTCCACTCATCTAACAGGGATAGGGAGTGTCGCGACCTGGTCCCAAAAATTGAACACGACCTCCCGTCGACTTTCCATATTCCTTCTTCCACAGAAACTCGCACAAGTAATCCTCGTAGCGTGAGTTATTAATTCCAAAACGCCGCTTGCAGATTGCCTTGTACTTCTGCCAAAGCGACTCCACGTTTTGAGTGTGGGCACCTGTTTGTGGATTCACAAAAATTTAACTGGTGATTGACTTGCAGATGCCTGTATGCGTTCGGCAGTGCGGCGATTTGGTTGCACGCTCTCCAACAGTCGCTAATGATCGTAGTGCGCAGTGTTCTGATATACTTCCTTACATTAGGCGACCAGAGTCGGAGCATCCCTCCTTCGAAACCAGCCTCAGGAATGCTCGCCCGCTCCCTCTTTCAATGCCTCCAAAAAGCCACTGGTGTCTGCGCACCCAGCGCCCACGATTGTACTTGCGCCTGGTCACCAGGGTTTCGTCGACCTCCACTGTGGATTCGTAAGCCTCCAATTAATCGCGGCGATCCTTCTGAAGTGCTCGGTGCAGACGTCGCGAAGTACTGCTCCCACTGAACGACGCTGGTATGGCTGATGTTGAGCTCGTACACCTTGTCCCTCACGTTGCCCATGTCGTGCAGCCAGAAATAGCTCAGCGCAAACACGGACGACTCTGGCGAGGTTAGACTTCTCGAAGAAGGATCCTTTCCGAGCCGGCACGTATACCTTCGTTTCGTTTGTGGGCCCAGTGCGGCATGATCGACGGTTGCAGACCCATCCGTTGTGATGCTGATCGTTTTTGGGGGCCATAGATCCTTGGCAAAGTGGGCATAGTGGCAACGCCATTAGTCCCATAGATCGCAACCACTCTTGCAACTCCAAGTGATCCATCTGCATCCTCTCGTACACATCTTTCAATGAGAAATCGAGTAGCTCTTGCTGGCGATTGCGCCTTCTCAAAGCATTGAGAGCCATGGCTACGCTCCTTCACAACTTGTGAAATGAACTGGATGAAGCATATCCGTTCTCATCACGGGAGTAACACCAGCCATGGGAAAGTACCTTACGGTCATCGTCTTCCCCACGACCTGAATTCTTCAACCATGGGAAAGCGCCTCAGGTCACATCGTCTTTCCCACGACTTCACTGTCCCTTTTCGTGGCGCAAAACGGCGCCAACGACGCCGAAAACGAATGTTGTATTCGTGATCAGGACCCCAAATTACCCCTATGTGCAAGTTTACAGCGAATTTGGTGACAACACCCCTGGCGCCAAATTGGCGCCAAGCGGCGCCAAATGGCGCCAACGCTGAAAATGAATGCCATAATCGTGATCAGGACCCCAAATTACCCCTATGTGCAAGTTGACAGCGAATTTGGTGACAACACACCTGGCGCCAAATTGGCGCCAAGCGGCGCCAGATGGCGCCAACGCCGAAAACGAATGTTATAATCGTGATCAGGACCCCAAATTACCCCTATGTGCAAGTTGACAGCGAATTTGGTGACAACACACCTGGCGCCAAATT